TCGTCAATATTTGACCACTCGAATGCATACCACATCATGTCAATTGTCATTTAGGATCCATTTGATTGCAAATATGGAATTTGAGTGGAAAGAAAATGAATTTCAGTGAATTGAATTGCCTAAAAATTATTTTTCTAGGAATTTTAAATTATTGTGTTTGATTGGTATGATTCTCCATGTGGAAAATATTGAAATGAAAGTATTTTTTGGTGTTCATTTTGTTGATCCCAAAGGCGATGCAAGATTGAGATTTAAATGGCAATAATAAAATATTCAAAATCGCACCACGAAAACAAAATTAAAGTAACGTAGAAAAAAAAAGAGAAACTAAGCAGAGGAACGATGTATTTTATTAAACCCGACAATATGGAGAGAATTACAACGACAGAGCAATTTGGCTTAAACTAAGCTAAAAGATGAGCCATATATTTATAGTACACGAGTCAAACTCTAAAACTAGGTTAAAATATGGAAATTATGAAAAATAACGTAAAATAAAGAAATTCGGCGTCCAAATATTATTTCCTTGATTTTGCATGCAAATGATTCCTTTTCCTCTTCACTTGGCTCTAATGATTCTTTCCTAAACCAAGACAACACGCAATCTTCAAATCTTTGACCAAATTTTGAGATACCTAATTAACAATCTCCACATTGACTCGAAATTTCGATACAATAAACAGAACTTCAAGATTTCAAATCTGTCTGCATCGAAATAATCAATCTTCTCAACACAGTAACCAAACTCTCCATAACCAAAACCATCGTCCTTTGCACGATGTCCACAAACGACACCGGAACCCAAATCTCGGGTTCCCAAAATTCCATTGAGAAATTACTGTTGACCAAACAGTGGCGAAGCACACCCTGTAACAGAAATCATACCACATGTTGGATCAAAAAGGCCCCTTGCTAGAACTATCACCTTCAACGTCCCCTAAAGCATTTCAGACATTATTGTCACCACCGTACCTACTTTCCATGAGTCCAAACCTAGCAACTGAACACAGTGTATCACCTGAAATTGGTGGTAAAGCAAAATCACTAACGCTCTCCCTAACAGTGTTCTTAACCAACTCAGAACTCGCCACAAGAGGTATTGTACCAAACTGAACTTCCACCACAGTACTGAACTTGTCCAAATGTCTCTTAACTGGTTCTGCGTTTTCCTACAAGATGTACAACTGAGACTTCTTCTGTCCCTCCAGTACAACTTGGACACCCCTTTGGACCTTCAAGATTCCACCTCCACCAAAGAATTTATACCCTTTTGCATCCAGGGTACTCAATGATATGAGATTCTTTGTCAAGTCTGGAACATTGCAAACCCGATCAAGTGTCTTGTGGCCTCAATCTAATCCGGCCGATTCATGTAACGCGACAGGATTGGTTGTTTTCCATGACAATTCCATCTTGTTTTACCGTCTCATATGTTTGAAACAAAGTCTTATTGTGACACATATGATACGAACATGCAGAATCCAGAATCTATTCCCCAGGTTTGGATTCCCCATCAGATATAGCCAACATTACATCTCCATCATCCGAAAAATTCTCAATAATGTTAGTTTCGTTACCTGATTGCCTGCATGACTTGCATGTAAATCACCTTTACCCTGCAACTTGTCGCAATCTTTCTTAATGTGTCATTTCCTCTCGCAGTAATAACAATACACATTGTTGTACCTCACCTTCGAGCTACCCCTCCATCTATCACCATGAGTAACAAGGGTATCCTCACCTCTAGATGTAGGATCTCTAACCAACAACTTCATCTTCTCCTTTGAGAATAGGGCGTCATATACTTCCTCAATGGTCAGTGTGTCACGACTATACAATATAGTATCACGAAACAACGAAAAAGAACTAGTTAACGAACACAACAGGATCAAGGCCAAATCCTCTTCATTATATTTTACCTTCAACGTTTCCAAATTTGCAACAATCTCCTTGAACATAGCAAGATGGTCCTATAGTAACCCTCCTTTCGTCATGCGATGAGAATACAGCTTCTGCTTTAGAGTCAGTTTACTCATTAGACTCTTTTCATGCACAAATGCTCCAACTTGAGCCAAAAAGCAGCCACCGTCTTCTCCTTCAAGACGTCCTGCCAAATATTGTTGGATAAGTGAAGATGAATCTGCGCTAGATCCTTTCGATCCCTCCATTGTTTCTCCTTCATAGACAAATTTGTTGGCATCCTCTCAAAACCCAGCAAAACATCGTCAAGATCCATCTGCATCAATACAGCCCTCACCTTTACTTCCCATAGCTAAAATCTTGTATTACGATCCAGCAGCGGAATTTCATACTTCAACGAATTCATTCTTGAAAAATCTCAACCAAATCACGAAGAACCTGCAATTTGTGCTCTGATACTATTTGTTGATCCCAAAGGCGATGCAAGATTGAGATTTAATGACAATAATGAAATATTCAAAATCGTACCACGAAAACAAGATTAAAGTAAAGTAAAAAAAGAAAAAAAGAGAAACTAAACAGAGGATCGATGAATTTTATTAAACCTGACAATATGAAGAAAATTACAATGACACAGCAATTTGATTTAAATTAAACTGAAAGAAGACCCACATATTTATAGTACACGAGTCAAACCCTAAAACTAGGTTAAAATATGAAAATTAAGAAAAACCACGTAAAAGAAAGAAATCTGACGCCCAAATATTATTTCCTTAATTTTGCATGCAATTGATTCGTTTCCTTTTTCACTTGGCTCTAATGGTTCTTTCCTAAACCAAGACAACACACAATCTTCCAATCTTTGACCAAATTTTGAGGCATCTAATTAATATGTTTAGCTTTATTTTATATGAAAATTATCAATTAAAGGGATAGAATTTATTGGTATTGAGGATGAAATTTGTTTTCATTGCCAAAAAAATAAAAATAAAAATCAAGAAAATCATCTATTTTTTGGTGTTCGTTTGACTTTGTTTTACATGAAAATTGTCAATTAAATGAAAATATTTTTTACAATAATTTTTAGAATTTGTTTTCATTGCCAAAATAAAAAATCAAAAAATCAAAAAAAAGAAAAATCGCTACAATAATCGGGAATTGAAATTCTCACCTCCAATTCAAGGAAAAGTTGGAATTCGGCTTATGTGCCAAGAAAGTGGGAATTTGAATTCTAGTGAAAATTTTGGACAACAAACACCCTTAAAAGTAAAAGTTGGAATTTCAATTCCATTTTTCATGAAATTGGCCTCCTATCAAACACACCCTTATACAAGCTAAAAATCATGGAGGGATTGGGCCCCCAGGGCACATCTCCAAGTGGTAAAATGGGAGGGTGGAGAAATCCAATTTTGCTTGAGGCTGCTGCATCAAGGGTTCGAATTCTGAAATATGAATTTGGCTTTTGGGTAAGTGCAAGTGTACAAGTAGCCTTCCACCCTGTACCCTTGGAGTCATAACCTGCGATTTACTTTTCTCGCGATGCTCCAGAATAGGGATAGTGAGGGACCCTTAATATTAGGGTTTAACCTTTTTTTTTAAAATCATGGGGGGATTGGTAATTCTAAAAATTACGGTCAATATTTGTTTCTACTTTTGAAATTCTAACCGTAACAATTTTATTTTGATTAAGACTAGACAAGCGATAAATATCAACCAAAAGTGCTACAATCATTAACCGCTATAATCGTCTTGTAGTCATGTACTTTGTCACTTACACTGGTTTAATGAGTTAGGAGTGAGGCTGCATTAATTAGGCTTTGCTTTATGATGCCACGCCCACGCATGAAAGAGAGAAATATTCGAAGTAATATTCCCACCACAAAATCGATAGTAATAATTAAACAAAGATTGTCAGGGTTTTCTGTACGGTTTCTCTCTCTAATCTAACCTACAGAAAATGCAAACTCAATTTCCACAAATTAAATACTCACGATTCACGAACTCCAGATGATCCAGCAATAGAATTCGAATACAACTGAAAAATCAGTTGAATTTAATTTCATAAATGGAAGCTAGGGTTGGAATATCGAGTCATGGAGGAGTGGTGGATGGTGGTGGTGGTGCTGCCACCAGGAAGTTTCTCCACCGCCACCATTCACGGCCGCAGCAGCAGGATCCGCCGCATATATCCCAGATTGGTACTATGCCTCATCTCCTCGCCGGTGGTGTCGCCGGAGCTTTCAGCAAGACATGTACTGCGCCTCTTTCTCGTCTCACCATTCTCTTTCAGGTGCTTTGACTTCGAAACTGTTTGGTCTAAAATCCGTCCTTTTCCCTTCTTTATTTCTTGTTTCTTACTTTTGTGAAGCGATTTGAGATCATTTAATCATTGGTCACTAAAATTTGCTAGAGGTTACTACTTGCTCAATGATCTTGCTCACTGATCTTTGCTATATGATATTGCTTGCTTACCGAAATTTAAAAGTTACTTGCTGACTCATTGCGTACTGAACTTTGCTGTTGGATGGTAACACTGATGGAAATGATACGGGTGATTGATGAGTAACTTTGTTCAAATTTGGATGAGCAATGTGTAGCCTTTTAAATTTTGAAAAGTAAGCAGTAACATATAGCAAAATTCAGTGAGCAAAGAGTAACATTTTAAATTTTGATGAGCTAGTAACCCACAGCAAGTAGTAATTAACTTTAATGATTTTTATAATAGAAAAATATCCTAATTGCAAAAGTGATACAAATAAGATGGAAGAAGGAGAGAGAAAAAAAAGAAAAGAATAAACAATGGCACTTGTAGAGTACCTTGTGAATTGATTGAAAAATTGGTGTTTATGTAACGTTCTAAAGTTTTTGTGTAAGATTGATTAGTATTTCCAAGATTCAGAACTGACTGGTTCTTTTCCTGTATTAATAATGTAATCAGGACAAATACATTTGAATTTATCGAGGATTTTTTTCTTGCTTTTGAAAATATTATTTCTGCTAGCAATGCCTTTGTTTACCGTAATATACAAAAAGCAAATCGTGTGATTTTTCATATCATTTTTAATCCACCTCAATCGTTTGAATTTTTATGTCATACTCAGTGGCCTATTTCTTTTTCCCCTTATTTGTCAAACGTTGGCTTAATCTAATCAAAAAATGTATTCTTAGGTACAAGGCATGCACTCAGGTGTTGCAGTATTGAGTAAGCCCAGTATGTGGCAAGAGGCATCACGTATTGTCAATGAAGAAGGTTTTAGAGCTTTCTGGAAAGGAAATCTGGTTACGATTGCTCATCGACTTCCTTATTCTTCAGTCAACTTCTATGCATACGAACGCTACAAAAGTGTGAGTTTTTATGAGATGCGGATTACAGTTTTGATCTAGGTAAAGTGTTTTTACTATACTTTTTACTGGTTTCATAATCTTTGCAGATTTTAAAATCCATCCCTGGACTGGATGGTCATGGGGGAAATGCAAGTGCGGATATTCTTATGCACTTTATGGGTGGTGGTTTGTCAGGAATAACAGCTGCTTCTGCCACTTATCCACTAGATCTTGTGAGGACACGGCTTGCTGCACAGGTAACATAGTAATACTTCATGTTGAACAACTGAAAGAAATTATTAACATAAATGAGGACAACGACCAAGACTCATTCCCAATAAACTTGGTTGGGGACATATATGAAACAAACAGAAATAAAATAGTATCCGATCAAGATACTATCACACATGCATATGGAATACCAAAAGCATTAGGTGTGCTAGCCAAACCAGTTTTTCATTGGCAGCTCACTTGTCTTTTTCATTTCTCCTTTTACCTTTTCATTTTCCTTTTTTCATATGTTGAAGTTTGATATTTTTTTTGTTTGCCAGTAGCCTTGACTAATTTAGTTTAAAAAGCTTGCAGAGAAATGCAATATACTACCAGGGAATTTCTCATGCAGTTCGAACTATTTGCAGAGATGAAGGTTTTTTTGGTTTGTACAAAGGACTTGGAGCAACATTATTGGTATGTCTCCTGCTTTGGTACCTTGTATGACTAAATTTGGTGACTTAAAATACAGATATTTTTCTGTCGCTCTTTCTTTTCTTTTACTTTCTGGTTTCTAATCTCTGAGGTGCTCTGCATGTTGCAGGGTGTTGGACCCAGTATAGCCATAAGCTTTTCTGTTTATGAGACCTTGAGATCTTATTGGCATTCTCAAAGGTCAGTGTGTAGTCATTGATGGACTGATGCATCTAGTGTTCCCAGTCATTTCTTTTGTCCTTCCTTTGAATTATTAAGAACGACTTATTGCTTCTCTATTAGGCCCAATGATTCTACTGTTGTGGTCAGCCTTGCTTGTGGCAGTCTTTCTGGGATTGCCTCATCAACAGGTGAGTGGTGACTCCCTTGACGAGTATATATGTAGTTTATCTTGTAGCTAGAAAGACATCTGCCATTTTTACCGTGTGAGTGGGGCGTTTTTAAAGAGAGAGGGTGAAAGGGGAGGCTCTCTTTTTTTTTTACACATTCATTATGTGATGCCTTTAATGGGTGAGTAATTTCTATGTTTGGAGCTGTTTAAAGTGATTTGATTTCTCATCTTTTTAACTCGTTTAAGATAACATGTATTTGATACTGATGCCTGAAATTTACTATTATTAGTATTTACCGTTCTCATTGCTACGTGGATACCAGTGCAGTAATTTTTGCATCCAATATGCTTGTTTGCTATTTTTATCTTCTGTTTCTTTGCACTTTCCCTCTTTTCATGAATTTTAAGTGTAATTTGATGCAGGACGAATTAAAAAAATAGAAAGAAGAAGCAAGAAAGAGGGGATAACTGGAGAGAATGGGGGGAGAAACCGGAGAAGAAGTAGAAATTCAGGGGGGAAGGGAGAGAAAGGAGAAGCCATAGGCAACAAATTACCAAAATATTATTCAATTCATCAAAACTAATGAAATTACATCGCAATTAGGTTTAAATAGTAAAGGCTAAAACCCTAAATAGAATGGGCTTGGGCCAACACAAGTCCAATTACATAAATAAAATCTAAAACATAAATAAAGTCCAACTAAAAATAAATAAAAAGTAGATGTCCTCATCAACTCTCCCGAGGTGGGAGAAAAACTCGACCCTGTCGAGTTGATAGATAGTATAGGCTACAGTCAATCTAATACTCCAAATGCGTCAAGTCAAGCCACTGGGGACGATCTTTCTGACGAATCAAGTAACGAAATTTCATGATTGATAGTACTGAAAATTGTAGCTTATTCCCAAGAATATGATCGTCAAGGGGGCGATCTTTCCTTCTAACCAAGTACTGATACTAGACTCCAAATAACCAATACTCATGCACCTCATCTTCACGATTTTCACATGATTGTATATGATGAGGAGCATAAGAAGCACGTCGATCTACCCAACAAACAAGGAAGTACCGAATCTTACCATCATTGGTCAATACAACACGTTCATCTAAAATAACATCAATTTTATCTTTGTGTGCTGTGATAGACGGTATTGAAGTAGAAATATCGACATAATCAAGTTGGGGGTCCATAAAGCTAAGTAGAAATAGATCATCAAAGGAAGTAACATGGTGTTTGTAAGTAATGAAGTCCTCAATATTTAAAGCAGAGTGGTAGCCAAAATGTGATAAAAAGGCAATGATATGTGCATTTGAACCAACATGCTTTAAAATTTTTAAAGGACCAGCACTTCAAGCTTGTAATATAACATAATTCCTAATATTAAATTCAAAATATCGTTTATGCGAATCAGCTTGAAGTTTATATAAAGCATTACTTGCGTCATGTTATTTATTGATCTCAACATGCAAGTTATGAAAATGTGATACAACTACCTCATCTGAAATAAACACACTAGCATGTGGGTACATGGGAATAAGGTCTAAAGGTTTTCTAGGTTCACAACCATGAATAACTTCAAAGGAATTTAGACCTAAAGACCAGTTCACAGGATTGTTATATGTAATTTGAACAGTTGGAGGAATCAAGTCCCAATTCCCAAGATTTTTCTGGACTAGAGACTTGAATAAATTGCTAGGACTATGGTTAATGACTTCATTTTGACCATCAGCCTGTAGTTGGTCTGCAGTGGAAAATTTCGATTTAGTGCTAACCATAGGCAACTAGGTTCTATAAAAGTGACTAGGGAAATCATGGGATACAGAATCTAGAGTCCCAAGAAGAGCTTGGATGCCACCTAAGGAGGTGTCCTCACTATCATCATCAAAATCTTCAAGTTTAGGGTCATATGTTAGATCTTCTAACGACTTTTCTATTGCATTCTTTCGTTCTTCTATGACTAAGACTCGGTCAGGACATTTGGAAGGGATATGACCAAAGTCCTTACAGCTGATGCATAGCAAGTGAGAAGTCTTTGGAGTTTCAAAAATTATACCCTTATTTTTCAAAATTGGAGGAATATTAGATGGGGGAGGTCCTAAAAGGGACTTAACAGGAGGAAGTGGAGCCAATGAAATCGAAGGATGATTGTCATTACGCTTACTACATGAAGAAGATGACCTTGGGCTATCACGACCTTTACACTTGTTTATCCAAAGGGAAGGAACACTAGACTGGGAAGGCTCTATGATAGACTTATGATGAGATGACGCTAATGAGATGGGTGAACGATGGTGATCACGCTTTTCATATGCGGTACTAATAAGTAACTCGTAGTCCTGAGTTGAAGAGTAAGCTTGATCAAGAGTAGTGATGCCTCGAAAGAAAAGCTCACGCCTAAGTTCATCTCGTATACTTTGTATAAACCTACTTAAAGTCAGAGCCTCATCCTCAACGACATGATATTTCACTCGAAATTCCTCAAATTGAGCAATGTACTCAGTTACTAGCCGATTCTCTTGTGTAAGGGTGTTTTATTGGGTAAAAATTTCATGATCTAAGCAACTATCGAAAGTAGGAATATCTAAGTCAATGTCTCTAAAGAAACGCTCCTTACGACGAGGAAGAGAATGAGCACCATGATGACCATGGCCTTGTCCTCGCTCATGAACCTGATCCCTATTCCTAAGATCGCGTCGAAAATATTCTTGATCACTTTGTTCACAATGATATTGTCTATTATGAGATGTTTCAGAATTAGTGTCAGTCAAACGAGGGGTTCGTTTAAAATTGCTTAACTTAGCAGTTAGGGTCTTTCTTTCCTCACGAGTAGCAGTTATATCTGATTGGACAGTCGATAGGCTAGTGGCAAGTTGCGCTAATTATCTAGTGAGTGCATCAAATTGGGATGGATCCATGGTCAATGTATTGGAAATAGAGATGACAAGACGACCACTACGCAACTACATGCAATGTAATACCAGCTAAATGATGTGCTATGATGAGATCAGTGAACAATACGTGCAAGCAATGAAAAATAACTTGTACCAATTTTTTTATTATTATTTAATTTTAAATATTGGGATTAATTAAATCCAAAATAAGCTAATACTGCTGGTACATGTAAAATGGCAGAGCAAGGGTCAACACACTAGTCAAATTCCCCAATCAATTTAAGTGGGGATCAATGGAAGTCAATTCGGTCACTGGTGTCAATTCGATTAATGGTTTCGATCAAGTAGGGTTTAAGGCTAAAATTATCACGATAACAGCAGCACAAGATTTTAATTGATGCAATTTTAAAAATGAAGCAGTAGTATAAACCAATATAAAATAGAGATCAAGGACTTCCCGTTGTTTAGTTTTGATTATTTGTATGCCGATTGATCTGAATTGCCGACTTATAAGTCCCAACTATGCTTCTGTTCTTCCCTTCGTGTCCAATGGTTTTAACCCCTGTTGACTGTAACGTGTGCTGGTTCTAGTGTGGACGTAAAACTGAGTGTGGTTATTGTGGCTTTTAGATTGTTGAGATGGACGAGGAAATATACGAGTGTGGTAACTTTGGTGGAAGTGTATGATCTTAGGTTGGTGGTGGTGGCCTATGGCGATGAAACGGTAGTGTTCTAGATGCCTGGGTAGATAATGAAGTAGTGGCGTGATGGTGATTAGAGGCGGCGGCGGCAAGAGAGTGGTTGTGAGAGAGAAATCGGGTGAAACTGTGGGGTATTTGATGTTAATGGATTGATTATAATCGGGCTTAGTCGGATATTTGGGATTAGGCCAAATGGGAAGGGGTTTGGATCCTGTTATAGAGATGGGCCAGTTGGGGTTAGTGTTTTGGGAGTGGGCCTGGGTCGTAGAGAGTAGGCTGGGTTAGTTGGGCTAAATATGTGATAAATAGGCTGGGGATTGGGTTATTGGCCGGATTGGATAATTGGGTTGATGTAATGGCCTTATTGGGCTGAATATGAGATGTGGATAATGGCCTCTAGGACTTGAGCTACATATGATTATATGGATGTAGATTGAGTCTGAGTAACGGGTTAAATGATTTGGAGACTATAATATTTGATTGGGTGTTATAATGGGCTGTTTGGATTAATAATTGATTATGTGTGGATTAAGGTTTGCAGGAAACAACAGCAGTAACATAACAACTCGGATTTTATTTTTTTTCCCGCGGGTGAACAGTACCTGGAAACAGTATCATTTTTTTTTTTAAATTGACAAAATGCAAAACTGAAATTTTGGGCGTAACAGTAATGAACAGTAACTTTTTTTTTTTTTTGGAACAACTAGGAAGAAGCTGGAAAAATAATAACTTAGCTGCTCATGCTAAAAGTTTATTTGTTTGTGCTGTTCCACAAGTTCTTGGGAAAGAAATATGAAGAGATTTTTGGATTGGAGATGAGAGATTTCCCAAGTTTAGGCTCTGATATCAAATTTGATGCAGGACGAATTAAAAAAATAAAAAGAAGAAGCAAGAAAGAGGGGAGAACCGGAGAGAATGGGGGGAGAAACCGGAGAAGTAGAAATTCATGGGGGAGAGAGGAAGGGAGAGAAAGGAGAAGTCATAGGCAACAAACCACCAAAATATTATTTAATTGAACAAAACTAATGAAATTACATCGCACTTAGGTTTAAATAGTAAAGACTAAAACCCTAAGTAGAATGGGCTTGAGCCAACATAAGCCCAATTGCATAAATAAAATCTAAAATATAAATAAAGTCCAACTAAAAATAAATAAAAAATAGACGTCCTTATCATAATTGGTTGTACCTCTACATAGAAGATTATTAGCTATTCTCTTGTTTGCACTTGGATAACCTGGCATTGTGTTTTGGAGACTGGTATAATTTGATAATATGACACTTTTGGAGAAGTAATGGAAGGGTAAAATACTTGGATTTATTCTGGATTTGTATGGTCTAGCTGGGTTCAATGTGAAAATATGAGGGTCAGCATGTGGACATGAGGCTCTTAATTATCATATTATCGTCTGGTAGAAGATTTTACCCAAAAAACACAGTTATGAAATATGATCAAATCTGAGTGTTCCGTCCACACAAAAAGGTTGAATATGATTGTGTTAAGCACCCTTGCTGATGTCCCTAACATACACAAAATGAAATTTACTAGAATCTATCAAGTAATTGATAAATGTGGATCACAAGTTCCAATTTACTAGCCAATTTGTGATTGATTTTTCAATATTTGGCCTTGTGTTCGTGTTTCCCTAAACCATGCCTTAATACTTTTGTAGCAACTTTCCCTTTGGATCTTGTGAGGCGAAGAATGCAATTGGAAGGGGTTGCTGGGCGGGCCCGTGTGTATGATACTGGATTGCTTGGGACATTTCGATACATTATCCGTGCGGAAGGCCTACGTGGTTTATATAGAGGAATCATGCCAGAATACTATAAAGTTGTTCCAGGTGTAGGGATCGTTTTCATGACATATGAAACATTGAAGAAACTCCTATCGCATGGGCTGATCAATTCCTAGTCATCATTGCCGTTCTATTACTTATCTTCCTCTTATCAGTTTGACAACCTGTCGTTCTCCAGCTTTAGACAGGAATCAACAAGGTTCAGTGTCGTGCCTGACGTCAATTGTATTACTTTTAATACATTTTTTATCACTAGTTTAGGGACATTCTCATCTTTGATGATTTGTATCATCATAAAATTTTGTGGTTGCACCTGATATTTATTTCTTACCTCTCTTCAAATCATTCTTTGTATCGATGGAGCTACAGATTAGTTGTGGCAGTTAACTCCTGCATTTTCTGAGGATGGTTATTTTTTGAATTCAATTGTTTAAACTTAATCCTGTATAGATTGATTCTTGCCAACTGATTCTTTGATATTCTGAGATCAGTTTTCATTTATGGCTATATAAAGAAAGTGATACAAAGGCTCTAATGAGTGAGCTAAAACATTCAAAGTAATTTTTGTAATATCTTTCTGCTTCATTTTGAGTTTTTTAACTTGATCAATCCCTCTGTTCCACCTAGGTTGAAATTCTTGTAATCTGTATGACATCTGAATATCTATTTGTATCTCTATCCACTTTCTTCGCTTGACCTGAATTTTTAGTATAGCATATGCTTGTTAAATTGATGAGCAATGGAGCTTGACTAAGATGAGTAAAGTTTGAATTGAACTCGATTAGTCGTGTTTAGTACTAATGAAGATCTTTATAACACAAGCTTGAACTTGCTTTGAGTTACAAATATTAAATTTAAACTTGTTTGTTAAATAACTTTTAAGTGCTTGTTTTATATACGCTATGATGTATGACTGGACAATTTTAATAAAAGAGACATTTTAGCTTAGTTTTTTTTCCTTCGGCTTCCATATTAATGTTGAGTATGGTAATCGCCACCACCAAACATGCCGTAAATGTATAGAGTAACTTGTTAATAGAAGTAAAGAGGGTTTTCTACAAGTTTGACCTCTTATAAATTGGCTAGTTATTGAAGTGTGTTGTCAGTGTGTAAAAAGAGTGGTAGGCGAACTGATTTTTTGGGATAAACGAATTCAGGACCTGATTTTAGTAAGCTAAATAGTTAATTATGCATTATTTTAATAAACTTGTGCAAAATACATGCACAAATTGGCCTGCAGAGTGGTAGGTTGGATTTTAAGTAATGCTATTTAGAATAATTGGTTTTATAAAATCAATTTAGGTGACACTTAGGGTTTGTTTGATTGTATGTATAAAATTTGAATGGAAAGAAAAATTGCCTAGAACTTATTTGTATGGAAATTATTAATTAAGTGTGTTTGATTGATTTAATTTTTAGCCAAGAAACTATTATACTTGTTTATTTTTTATTGGTGGATAGATGAGAGAGAGAAAGAGAGAATGAATTTCTTAGAAAATAAAATCATGCTACCCTAAAGAAAATATTTTCTTTGATTTTGAAGAAAATATGGAAGAGCTAAGAAATAAAAATCGAGAAGAAAATAAAAAAGGTGGTAAAAGTTGACGGGGCCAACTATAATGTACTTTGGTTTAAGCCTTACGAGTATTTGAAATAATTTTACTCTTTGAAAGGCTCGAGCTTGGTTTAAAGCTCGACATGATGAATGAAATATATTGTCACTTGTGTTTTCATTTTAATCACGTCTTATTTGATCTATTCTAGTGTATCAAATGTGTTTTTTAGTCTATTGACAACTCGACATGCATCCTTGACCGATAGAATAAATTATCAGATATTTTCAGGGAATTTAGGGACTTCTGATACATCAACTTTAGTTATATCATAAAGATGTGATAGATTTATTTGATAAAGATCATTCTCTATAAGTAAATTTGACGTGAGTGATTTATTTATTGCAAGTCGCATCAGATGCCAATCAATAAAAGCATTGCTAAATGAAGAAGATTTCGTAGGATTATTCAATGACAGGAGAGGTATTATGTGACTTATGATTATGAACAACAGTGACGAGGAAGANAATGAAGAAGATTTCGTAGGATTATTCAATGACAGGAGAGGTATTATGTGACTTATGATTATGAACAACAGTGACGAGGAAGATTGTTATGTGTTTTGTCAAGTAGTTAGTAATCTCAGCCATGCATTAATGAATGTTTGCTTTCCCAAGATAATCTTTTCATAGTTGTTTGCAGTAGTGGAAGAATAATCGAAAAGGTTTTACTTCTTTCTCTGTTATTATAGTTGAAACGCTATATGGGTGGAAAATAGAGAAATAAATTAGAAAATATAAAACTTCGAGACTGAAATGTACGACTTAACCACCATTTGATATAAGAACCAAATTGAACTTAACCCGTCTAAAAAGTATTCTTACTTTACCCTTTGTTTTACCTTGTAACGCTCATTGTCAACATGGTTTATGTAAGATATTGGCTCTTGATCACTTTCATAGTCACTTCTCAAAGTATGGCTCCTCCATGCACACTACCAAATGAATCCCCCTGCAGTAGGAATGCAGGCAGCCAGGCATCTACAATCGCAAAGTGCACATCACATCTCCACCCGAGCTGAATTAAAAGATGGAAAACCATCAAGATGTAGTGCACAATTTTCATGAACCTAGCTGAACTGGAAGGCAGAGCAACTTATTTTTCGTTTCAGCATTGCAGAGTTCGCCCTATGTACATTCGGCGTGGCTATAGGACAAGTCACATTCCATCTTCTTGTCTGTATCAGATTCAAACCTCATGAAGTTCTCATTAATTGTGAACTCTAGTGAGCTCAATCTCTTTAATCCATATCTACACATGATGGTTCTGCACTTGTTTTGGAAAGAAAAAAAATATTATATTAGTGGTGGTTAATTTTTTGAGCAAAGATATCTAGAAAGGTTTCTATATGGAATGTTGGTTGATGTCAAATTGCTAAAAAATTGCAATTTAAGGTGGATTTGATAGCACAAGAGTACATTAAGGAACAATAAGTTGAAACCATGTTCTCTAATCGTGTCCAATACAGCACCACCAAATGTGCCGTAAAAGATTAGTATTCCTGGATAGAAAGCAGAAGAAAAGGACCACATGAGCTTCAAATTGCTCTGTTGTTCTGTGGGAACGTTGCCTACACTCTCACTGATCTTGGCATAAGAATCAGGTTTGATAGTCATTTGGTCTTTGGTGAATGAGACACTTTTCAGTTATCCCCTTTTGACTCCCTTCTAAAAAATTCTGTACGTGTCAGATCAACATCCCTCTGAGTCTCTGACCACTTCCCTTGTCTCAGAATTTTCCTATGTTGAGGGCTGGAGAATTTGTGAATTAGCCTGAATCTTGTAGACTCGGTCCTTCGTCTTCCTGTATTTCGAGAAACTAATTATACTTACAATAATCCCTGCCGGTCTCCAAACTAGCAGTTTCAGGACCAATTCTGTGCCTTCCGGTTACCAAGTGAAATAGATTTCGTAAAATGTATAAAAAAGATCATTAAAACTGATGTACTATAATATGCAAATGTTGCCTTTTCCCTTTCCTAATTGCATGTACGAGTTCATGGAGCTTAAAATTCTTGGATCAGCACAACGATGAGCTAGAACAATGAAAAATTCTCCCCTATTTGGGTCGGTCTCAATTGATCCCTTGCTTTTAGCACAGCAGGACCTGAGTGGGAAGCTGGCACGACAGAACGCACTCCCGATAATGGTGTCCTTATACCTTCTGGAATACTAATGACTAATCTACAGGGGACAAATCGATATCTTGTTTTATTTATTTATTTATCCTTCTGTATCTCTACATTGCTCAGAATATTATGAATTTCGAGTAAGGGAGCAATTTGGTCCTGTTGATAAAGCAGTGAAGGAAGAAAGATCGTTGTCTGAGAAAAGTAAGGTTCTTTCCATATCATTGGTTAGCAGGGAACAGAATCGACTACGATGATTAGAGATGACAACATTTTATAATGGCTTTATACTACTAGCCTCTTTACAGCATATCACCCTGTAATTGAGGAATTTTATGAGCTAGCTTTATCAAGGATTATAAATTGCTCTCCCCATGCATATGGTCTATCAACTAACCTCTTCTGCATGAAACTAATAGTCTGTTCTCGTTTTCCACTTCTATTCATTTCGGTTGAACCACAACTTGTATTGTATGAGGATCAGGTAATCTGCATCCTGAGGTTTAGATGGTTATTCTACTTATTTCATCTACTCCTTGGGCTGCTGATTATCCCGTCCTCACTGACAATGTATAGGGCATGTTTGAGAAATAGTAAGATAGGACTGACTTTCAAGATTTTAATATATTATTCTCTCTTAATTCGATCCAATCTTCTCAACCAAATATGCCCATAATGTATTCTTAATTCCTGCAGAAACCAGAAAATCATGAGGTACCTGCCCTTCGAAGTAACACAATTCTTCTCAGATGATCATGATATTATTCTATTGTTGATAATATTTCTCTGAAGTTTCTAAGTTGTCTCTGAGCTCGGCTTATTCTTGAAGCTCAAAAACTTACATGGTCAGGCCCCTTATGCCACAAGTGCATAAGAATCCAAAGTAGCAGGCAGTACACTACATGGCATGCTAAGGTAAGCAACTTCCTGATATCAGATAAAACACCAGATCATTTTTCAGATTACAAGGATTCTTTAGCGGTAGTTTCTTCTTTCTGACAAGTTTTTCTCCCTTGAACTACCATATATCGCATGTATCAGGCTGTCCAGTAAGATAAGATGTCCATAAGGGCATGTTTCCAAGGTTGGACTCAACAGTACTTGATGCAGGGTAGCGTGTATAGATGCATGAGAACACGAAAGTAAAAAACAACCTCATGTTGATTCACTGATGAATACCATAGAACTAGGCATCAAAGACTCGTTGACTCTCATGGAATGCTGAGAATTTAGGCATATGATTGAGAACACCAATTTTTCATTTCAACAAGTCTGACTTTCCAAAGACGTGTGGTCCTATTTATCCAATACTATAGAATTCTATTTATGAGGAAATTTCAAAATATCATAATAAAATCCTATACGATAGTAATTGCAAGACTTCAATAAACAAAACTTTGTTATGAAGAAAATGTTCTAAAACTACCATATAATTCTAAAATTGCCAAATACTTAATTATTTCTATATGTGGGCTGAATTAGAACTGGTTATGAATAAGGAAGAAAAGAAGTTAGATTTTCATGTTGCCCTCTCCAATACTGTTTAACTCAGTCCACCAGTTTACAATAATTTTAGGCATTTAGAAGAGAATTTATCCATTGCCTATCTGATTAGGCAGCCTGTAGCTTTCTCCTTGCTTTACAAAAATTATCTTTGCCATCTTTGATCACAAGAAATTCCAACATTTCTACCCAGAATATGATGGAATTTCCACCTAAATTTGTACTGCAAGGTCAAAAATGAGAGCAATGCTGACCCCAAGATATCACTCCAAAACTATGCAAGCCAAAGGAGGTTGAAATTATTATTTTCTTTCTTTCTATAGTTCATAGACAGAACAGTTTTACGAATTCTCCCGTCACTTCAGGATTTCTTTCTCAATTACATTAGTGTTGGAATTGGTTCAAAAAATTAACCGAAAATTGGTTAAGTGTAAAACTAAGAAAATGAAAAGGTGTAACTTCATGTCAACTTTGGTCGAA